ATATATATATATATATTACGGCACTCAAGCCCGTCTCAACGGTGTACTTAACAGATCCCTCTCATCAGTCTGTGTATATATATATATATCAGGTTTCATAAAGTTTGTTTCAGGCATTCGTAACTGATATGGAGGATTGCACAGTACACAGAAAAACATGAATTTCGCATAAGTTTACTTTTATTTTTTCCAAATAGGGAAAGTAGGCTAAGTAATTTAAAATACACAATCACCTTCTCATTTCATTCTAACTATCTATCTATCTATCTATCTATCTATCTATCTATAGCTCCACAGCCCTTTATTGGGCCTTGGCCGTTTTTAGTTTCTTAATCTTGCACACAGACGGTAGGGCTCTTTAGACGGAGGATCAGCCCGTCGCAAGGCCGCTACCTGAAAACACAGGACAACACAAACACAGAATAAGCTCACACAATACAGATATCCATGCCTTAAGTGGGATTCGAACCTACGATCCCAGTGTTTGAGTGGGCGAAGAGAGTCCAGACCTTAGGCCGCTCGACCACTGTGATCGACTCTCATTTCATTCGCTACTAAATAATCCTAGCGGTTAATACAGTGCCATTAATTAACTTATGAATCAAATCAAAGTCCACTGAGTGATAATCGTTAATGAACGTATAGAGGTGCGAATGACGTGAACATCAAAGGAAGACGGGGAATCCCGATGAAATCTGACCTAGAGTAATGCAATTTAAGTGAAGCATGTGTTTGGATAGGAGAGATGTGTTGTGCCTGGGTCACTTCCGAAGGAACTACAGCTGTGTGGAAGAAAGGGAACCTTTAAGTGGCATTACAGTTGCACGAATCACTGCCATTGATAGATATATCTTACTTTCCTACGTCGTCACCAATTTGGCCAAAGCCCAATGACGTAGAAGCAGAATCCCGACGTCATTTTGCTGATAGAAATAGCACAGATGTACGCCCTCCTCTGGCCAGCCTCTCAGCTAATAATTGAGTTGCATAAGTTACACACTAATTTTTGTTTTCAGCGTACTTCCGGTATTCACACAAGTGGGAAAACTTTAAACATAGGACGTTAATACTTCCTCGCCAGATTTCAGTGTGTGCGTGTGATGTCAAGGCACACTGAAATCCATAGGTACAATATTTTGAAATTATGTCATCAAAGCGTATTATTTTGGATAATGGATCTTACAGAGATAGGATGGGATGGCATGGATTGGATTGATCTGGCCCAGAATAGGGACCAGTGTAGGGCTCTTGCGAACACGGTAATGGGCCTTCGGATTTCATAAAATGCTGGGAAATTCTTGAGTAGCTGCAGAATTGGCGGCTCCTCAAGAAGGGCTCAGCTCTACGAGTAAATAAGTAAGTAGTGTATTATTTTATCGGGAATTTCCATATTACTTCAGTTAAAAATAATATTTTCTGTAACATGTCTAACTCAATTTTGCAGTACCGAACCAGTCTGGGCAAGCTCGGTTCCTTTAAGAAATCTGCTTGCTAAATATGCACCACTTCTGCAAGGCTATAAATTCTGTCAAAAAGCTCTCTTTCCTGTTAATATTTGTACAGTAGTTCCTCCATTTTTGTCAAAAACACCAGACGGCACATGATTTCTTAATACTCTGTTAGGAATGACATTATTATTGTCACGTTTTCACCAATTGAAAAGCTCCCTCTTAATTTGAGTTACACGGAACTCCTAAGTTCTACTCAGCCAATACCATTTAATGAAAATAATAATACGAACAACTATTCACATCAGGTATCAACGCTCTCCCCCTTCCATGCCCTTCCCCATCCAAAAACATGCGTCATTTGTGTTTACAATACTACCCTATCTTTACTCCAATACAAAAGGTCCACGCCATACTGTGTTAATGGTCCTCTCAGAAATCTCCGTCTTGTGAGTGAAAGATAAAAATACGAATGGCCTTTAAAAATATGAATAGAATACACAGATGCAACATAGTAAACAAAGTTAATTCTAGGCCGCGCCATAGCTCAAGCGGTTAGTCGCTGGCTTTCCACCGCGGCGGCCCGGGTTCGATCCTGGATCTGGTCAAGTAGGATTTGTGGTGGACAAAGTGGAGCTGGGGTAGGTTTTTTCCGAGTACTTCGGTTTCCCCTGCCAATCTTTATTCCACCAATTGCTCCACAATCACCCTCACCTATCATTTGGGGCTGGTACAATAGGCCAGAAATGGGCGCAGTACAAGGGACTGAGTCCCATCCCACTAACAATAAAAAGAAAATACTCAGAATTTCCGTGGTTTGTCTCCGTCCCTCGAGAAGAATAGAGGGTTAGTACTTCGGCACAGTCCATGACCGCTTGCTTCCACGCGGTTTCCAGTGCTTCATTCATTCATCGCCCTAACATTCGGCGCTATGCAGTATGAGCTACTGGGAACGTCGTAAACAAACTTTAAATGGACTATGAATATTTTTAAAGGGTTCTGACAATTGTATATAACACTCAGAACCACTTTGTTTCCGGACCTTGTCCATCGTCCGTTATTCTAGGAACTAGAAAACACGACGTTTCGGAAGCTGGATCTGTTTCCGTCCTCAGGTGAAGGGGAGACACCTATTTTATTAGGTCCCTTAGAAAGACCTAATCTCTATCACTGGATCCAGCTCACCTGAGGACGGAAACACACAGTTTCCGAAACATTGTGCTTTCAAATTTTTAGAATGCCGAACGATGGACAGAGTCTGGAAACCCAGTAATTCTGAGTATGAATATTTGTTTTCCAAAGAGTCGCCATGTTTACTACAGAGACATGGTACAGTCTATTTTAAGCCGTTATACCAACTACTCAGATTATGCAGCGTCGAATGAGATATGGTATTATGATTCTGACTGATGAATTGGGAAGGAGGCGCAACGAAGAATTTTGGACCAATTAAGATTCTGTCTTAATATGTTATACGAGATACTGCGCCTGTCCGTCGCCGGGATCTGAACTGGGTAACTTCTGAATGTGCGACGTTCGACGGTTCGTATAATATAGAAATATGTTTATTAGAAAACATTTTCACCGTAAATGGCTAACAAAAGTTCTGTTACTTTTCCTACTACCGATCCTCAAGGGACTTGTGAATTCTCTTATGATGTTTATTTCAGCTCTTGAATTAAGGATATCACATTGGACAGTATGTTCGGACGGCAGACATGTTCTATGACGGAGAATAGCACCAATTGCTTCTGGAAGCTGGATGAAGCTATACCGATTTACAGCCACGATTAGTAAATTACGTTTAAATTCAATAAAGGATCGTCATGACACTAAACTTGTTCGCTCTACGAGTAGAAACAGTTTAAGCTTTACGTCAGCAGCAGTAAAGCATTTGGCTTGTTAGGGACGCAGATATAAAACGCAGATTTACAAATGTGTTCAGGGTTATAGTCCATTAGATAAAAGTGCCGAGGCGCGCATTTCCAGGCTGAAAGAACTGGGCACGGTTCAAGATAGAGGGTCCTTTTCTTTACTCAAGGATTGTGTTACGAGTACACGTGTAAAGGCATAAGCAAATATTCAGCAGCTTACTAAATGCACGTTCTTAAAGAGGCTGAGGTTTCCACCTCAAATGGACGCGTGTGCGACAAAAGCGTGAGTTACTGAGAATCTCTTAACATCCGTATCACTTAAATCTAGCAGTTTATATATTTAAAACGAATTAATTTTTACTCTCACGTTTTATACTAGCCATGGACCAACCCATTATTTAAATACTATTGTATTAATTTCAGTGTGTGTATGCACACATGCACACACTTCTCTCACTTCTAAATGATATTTGTTTTGATGAAATTATTATTATTAAAATGGTATAAATTTCCTTGTTTCTATGTTCTCTTTGTCTATATTCTGTTCCTTTTGTTTATTCGTGCTCGCTTTGTAATTACTTTTGGGCTGTTCACTTGGCACTTAAATAAATAAGAATTTAATTTAATTAAATTCATTGTAAGGCCAAGTTGTCTCTGTACTTAATTAAGCATCACACCATGAAGATAGATGAAGGAATGGAGGTATAACTCCACCATTCTTAACCTCGGCATGAGATGAAGGTGAGTGGTTAGCTTCGCGCCCCGGCCGCCTAGGCTTCACTCTACCTCTCAGAATCGAATTATGGTCGGTCTACACGTAAGGTAAAACTACCCAATTTAGTGATATATGATATTTTACTTTATGGTATGACACTAGTTAACATTTTCCCACGAATTGCGACATTATGATGTGCGGGTTTAGATCCATTCATGGCAAATTGTTACAACTAACTGTGGAATATATACCACCTAATTTCGTGTAGTTTTAGAGTATAATACAGTGAAGTAAGATACGAACATATCACAAACTTGGGTAGGTTTACCCCACAAAAACAACGGTGATGTTTGCATGGGTTACGATAACATACGTACTTATAATTTCGTACAGCACCTTGCGGTTTGAACATGAACACTCATTTTTCTTAGCCTTCTGCCTAAGATATTCCACAGGGTCATAAAAAATGTCCATGCTCTCTTTCGATTTTCCACAGGCTTGGCAATCAAGTGCTTTGAGTGCAACAGCCACAATGACAGCCGATGTAGTCAGGACCCCTTACCCGACATGCTCAAGAAGGACTGCTCCGATCACGCCAGAGGAGTACAGTTCACAATGTGTCGCAAGATCGTCCAGAATATCGACTTCGAGGTGAACGGAAGTACGTATACAATATTTCCGAAGGTTCCATAGGTCACATGAAGATGTCGGAATATTAGCGAATAGCGTAATTTTAAGTCAGTCCTTGCTTATAGTGTCATAGTATTTGTAAGCAGAATATTGCTACATGATTCCAGATCTCAAGAGTCTTCTGGCAACGTTCTCGTAATAACGCGTTGTGTGTACTGTCCCCTTCCATTAATTATGATATATTTTGCTAAAACAAATAAAATTTACAGCTAGATGATTGAGTTCTACCTAAGCATACGAAACCACATATCTTAAAATAATTAAAATTGTATATTCTCTTCTCCTTGTTAAACATAGATCCTCCAGATCTGCGAGTGATCCGTGGTTGTGGTTGGGATGACTCCAATTACTTGGGTCGATGTTATCAGAGATCTGGTTTCGGAGGCCGTCAGGAAGTGTGCTCCTGTCTCGAAGACTATTGCAATGGTTCTGTGGGCGTGACAACGTCTCTGACACTAGCCGTATGCACAGGACTCATACTGGTGTTGAGTCGACTCATGTACTTCTGAGCCCCCCCTCTCCCCTCCTTGTCCCAAACACGTCCCGTCCATCCCCAAAGTACCGCACTTATTATGGAACAAAAAGAAAGGTGCGAATTGTCGGATTTTTATGTTGGTGGACGTGTCTGATAAATTCTAATTTCTAAAGAAAGTTGAAGACAAAAAGATAGTCATCATAAAAAATATTTATGAAATGTTGTACGATTTCTAAAGTGCAAATACACTTTGTGAAATTGTAATAAGTAGCTACTATAACCGTAAATATTAGGCAATTACATACGAAACTTGTAAATAATAATATAATTTTCATTTTGCCATTCACTGAGCAAAATGTGCAAGCCAGCCTTGCATAAAAGTGCCATGTAATTAAGCAAAGGGAACTACTTAGTCTGCTGTATATGATTTCATGAACAATTTTTCGTTATCAGGGGTTGTATTGATAAGTTCTTCTTATATTACTATAAGGCTTATGGGAGTTTCTTTTCCAGTTATATGTAAGTCCAGCCAAATAGAACATTCCTTAAATTTTATAATGAAATTGGATGAAGGTTGACAAAAAAAATCTAGCTTCAATAATGTACCTATTGTAATTATTACACCAAGTTGAGTCTGTGTAGACATGTATACTGTAACTATTGTAAGTAGTCTGAAGTCTGCAAAATGAATTTCTGTACTTTGGAACCAATAGTTCCAGTTGTAAAGAAGATAATGTATTTTAATCAATTTTGTGCGTAAATATGCTTACATATAATTACTTCAGTTATTGATATTACACTTTATTTTCTTCCAGTAACATATCACGTGACTAACAGAATATAAGTTTCTTTTGAAGAGGTTGAAAAATAAATTAACGCTAACAGTTAGTACCATTAGGTTTCATATAAGATCCTATTACTTCAAAACTGTTCACAGTAGAGTCAGAGTCCTTGTATTTTGTTACAAATTCACTGCAGTATTTCAAGTAAAAGGTGTAGATATCAATGACAAGTGTATTTTATCAAGCAAAATTCTGAGAAATCCTGTAAATTTCAGAAGAGAACTATCTTCGGGGATGTAACGCCGTGTAGTCCCTTGAAAGCCAACCAACGTTTCAGGGCAACGCTGCCCCAACTTCGGCGTCGAAGAACAAGACAAGCAAGAAACCAGCGTGAAGCAGGTAGCAAGCAGAGCACTCCATCTTCAGATGATGATGGAAGCAACATGTTGCTCCGAAACGCTGGTTGACTTTCAACGGCCTCTACGGCGCTGTATCCCAGAATACAGAACTCTTCATAACCACCGCTAAGAGAACCTCAGATTCTACTGTAAACTTTAGTTTGGCCTTTTTATGAAGCTGGGAGTTGTATGTCGCAAACAATAAATTTTCCTGACAATGATTTGTATAGAACTCCAATAATAAATTTCATCAAAATCCATTCTCTAGTTTCATAGACACATTTTTTACATGACATGTCTACGTGGTTTCATTTTATACACTTCTGCAGATGACATAAAAATTAAAAGCCAAATGCCTTTTGGCACACACAACATGGTCACCCGGTAGCGTAGTTGGTTGAGGCATTATGCTACGAGCCGGAAGGTCGCGGGTTCAAGTCCCGATGAGGTTACTGGATTTTTTCAATTGACCTAAACCTTCCGGCGGCACTATGGCCTTGTGGTTGACGCAGCTACTAACAGAAATGAGTACCAGGAATTAATTAAATAATTTTCCTGGCGAGTAAAGCGCGGCCGGCGCGTAAGGCTGACAACCTTAAAGTCATCTTTCAGCCGATTGTCTAGATAATGTGGGACCCTCAACGTCTCACAACCCTATGAGCCTTCACAGCCTGTTACAGGGCTAGCTTTACTTTTACTTTACGACATGGTCATGTTAATTGACTGAATCGTGTGACACAGAGATCTGTAATTGGTACAATTGAATATCCTATAGAAGAATATTATTTCTTATCTATGTCAACAAAAAGGGCCTTGGTTCTCCCCTTCCTTATCAATGAAATCCTTTTCAGATTAAATGTCGTATTTCGGTATTGCTAGGTTACAGATATTCACAAATATTCTATGTAAAAATTAATTATGTGAGTAGAAGCAATTCCTAAATTTTCACCCACTTATACATGCACCAAATTTCTGTCAAATAATGCATGAACAAAAATCGAGACATTGTATAAAATGATGATCATTTGCAGAATGCATTCAATTTTCTGTGTTAATGAAAGAGCTATGAAATCAAGAATCACCACCTCACAAGTATTGTCTGAGAGAAGAATATCCCTGAATAAGATACAGTGAAGAATGGTACAGCATAATCTATCGGGGATAACGTGTCAGTGAAAATGGTATGTGGTGAGAGGAGACATACCATTTCATGGGACATTAAATACTTGCGCCTTTGAACCTCTTACTTAGAAGCATATTCTTTTGGAAATGCCTACTATATCTGCATACGTTCTATTTAACTTTATTGGCAACATCTGGTAAATGCAGCAGAAGGTACTGATATTTATCGATATTTGTCTTTAAATTTCCTGTGGGTGCTGTATTGCCAAATAAGAATTTATATGTATAATTTAAGCTCCAAGGTTTTGGGGGGAAATCTATTTTCCCATACAACATGGTTGACTTTCGAGTGAGTATTATGTTTTTACAAATTGTATAATTGACCTCCATAAACTCCACACTTACTCATTCCTCGACTTCTTACTGTTAGCCTTTATGTTTGTTTTCTTAGTGTCATGTTTACAGGACATGGACATTAACAACCTGAGAATTTGGAAAGAAATAGCAACAAATCTGTAAGAGCCATTACAGAAAGTACTGGCTGGCAGTACTCCAAATGTGGAATAGTAGAGTGCTCAAATAGGAGGCTATTTTATAGACAATGATTTTAAATTAAAAAATGAAAATAAAATTAATCATTTTTTTGAGGTCAGGGAGTACATTCTTTTGTATTAATTCCTAAGTTTTTCTTCATCTAGAAGGGCCATCCTATGTATGTTTGCTTTCCCTGAAGTATGCATACGTTTTGTACTGAGAAAACTAAAAATATTCGTTCTTTCCATCACATTCTGTATCAGAAGATCAGTTGTTCAGTGTTACACTGAGTTATAAGTAATGTGACTATCATAAATTTACCGTATCTTTGACCTACTATAAAAAACTGCATCCAGCTAATTCCTTTATGTACAGAAGTGTTATATGACAGTTCCACAGTCTGGCCAGTTTTTAGTGATCTCTTGTATCAGTGCTCAGCCCTATGCATCTAGAAATGGCATTGGCTGACAGTGACGTTACTACTGTTTGCCTCAAAACAGCATTGGCTGGTGGTCACTTGTTGATCAGGAACATTATCATTATCTTCTATTCGAACATCGTTCCTGTTCCGGGCTGTATTTGCAGTCTTCAGCGTTTGGAGTTGAAATTAAAATCTGACAGCAGGGGCACCTTCTCTTTCTGAGTTGGGTGTCACTACATTACACTCAAGCTGAGGCCATGAATTATATTATCATGGCTGGCTGGCCTGCATTATGGACACGTACAATTTGGCAACAATTTTCAGAATGCCAAATTCTGACACTGCCTTGATCATGCTATACATTTATGTATCAACCAGACATAATATTTTATGTCATTGTGTACATTGTTTTGGAAACACAGTAAATCAATAGGAACAGCCTGTAATCCACCTGCGCTTTAGTGTGTGATATTATGAATTAATGAATGAATGCATTAATGAAATATATGTCTGCAGCTTCAGAAATATTGTTTGTAAAGCAATGACAAAAGGTACCCTACTGTTTTTTTCTGTATACTTGCCTGAAGATTGCATGCAGAAGATTAGAAAAAGCACACTGATATTATGTGTTGTAGGATACACAGGAAAGGGAAATTGCTACACCGGATACCACTTGAGCCCAGCTGTAGTATTTAAACTGCAGACAGTCATTACATTACTGTAAAATGATTGTGTGTGTGCATGTGGAAATGTATGTTAGTGTCTGTTTTGTGACCTGATAAAGAAATGCTGAAAGAATAAATTCATGTTACATAACCATGAGAACATAAATTCAATTGTTATTGCATAGAAATGAATTTAAGAACATGATGTATGTATTCTGTAGTAAGGAAATTAATGTGTGAATCATAAGTTCTGGATAAAATTTATTTTACAAAATTATGAACACTGTAAATATAAATATTATTATTGTTTGGAAAATTTACAAGTTACTGGTTCATAATTTGTCACAGAGTACATATCCTTCCCCGTCACCTTCATTTCACTACGATTTTAAGTCTGTCAAAATTTATATAAATTATCATACAGCTAAAATGATAATATCAATACAGTATGGGGACCCATACTAAGAATCTCAAAATCCAGAAGGACCTGAAATCCCAAAGTTTTCACTTTTTTATAGTTGCCACTTTTCAATATAAGTGGCGGGCGTGTTATGCAAGTCTATAAAATATGAAATACAACAGGTTTTAAAGAAAAGAAGCTCAAATGCAAGAAAATTAATTTTCAAGACATGTTTGGAAAGAATGGAGATTCTTCTACTGACAAAAGTGACAATTCTGGCTCTTATTATTCGACTTCAAACACGTTTTAGGTAATGCAAACATTAACGTTTTTTAAATTTTGAATTTTTATTTGTTAACAATCCAGAAAGTTTTTGGTCTCAAGTTTATTAGGCAGTAGATCCCCTACTGTAGGTCTTAAGGTCACATGCAACCATAGAAAAGAAAAACCATGTGGTACAGTAAGCATAGCTTTTCAAAGCATTATTTACTGCAGTTAAAAGGAATAAACACTCTGTCCAGATGATCATTTCCAAACAAAATTTTATTTAAGTCATCATCTCCAATTGCTGATGATGAATATGCTGAAAGATCCAAGAAATGAAATATCCTGAAAATGCACTTCTTCTACAGTTCTATGATATACATTATTTGGAGGACAGTATATACTTGTGCTTCAAGAACGTCTGTTCTGATGACAGGTAATGTAAGCTGCTAAGTTTAGTCAGACTCTATGTATAGCTCCCCCTTGCATTCTCCTCATACCTCAAGAACATTGTACTAATGAAAACATACACTGGCACTTCAAGAAAAATGCAGTCAATGTTCAGGTGGGTTTTACTTCTGGATTTACACTAAAATCTTAACAAATGCTGTTACAACAGGAAGCAAAGCCTCACGTGGCCATGATTGTAAGAACACATTCATAAGTTACATTTAGACAGCTCTCCTTTTTTTATGCAGTGTTGCATTTACTGCTGCTTCAAAGTTAAGTGCACATGGTGCTAACAGTGTATGGTTCTTTGTACATATCTCTAACTAACTACAGTCAACTCTCGATTATCCGGGATAATGGTGGGGATGGAAATCACGATTAATCGAAAACCCGGTTAAGACAAATTTTATTAAAAGTAGTACTGTAATACTGTACCTTCATAATACTATAGGCCTACCTGTATTTAAATTTATTCAACCTCATTTTTATGTCATCTCATGGCCTATTTAATACTCTTTTTACATTACACTGAAGTATGAATTAGTTATTTCAATCACAGTCTTCAACAACATCCAACAATTTTTACGAATATTCACACTTAACACTTAAAAAAAATTAAATATTGTCGTTTACTTTTTCGCGGCCATTTTTCTTTTTCTGTTGAATACTTAACACAACACACTTCCTTTTACACCCAGACATTTTGCTAACGCACTTGAAGATCGATACAAAGATACTAACTTGGGCGATGTATCTGTCCTTGACACTTTCCACAAATCCTTGCATTCTTTCACCCCTACCCTAGAACATTGTGTTAGCATAACGGGACCAAAGAATGCAGAGCTCGGTTCACACTAGTGTGAAAATAGTGTTACAACTCGCCATGTGAAACAAAAGTGAATGAATATTAAACAAGATATAAGCCTCAAAAAAGCCTCAGTAGCCCCGGTTAAGCCGCAAATCGGTTAGTCCACCCCCGGGATAATCGAGAGTTGACTGTACTCATTAAAGAGGATATATGTCCTTTTCATTTAGAAAAATTGTATCCGAGGTGTTACATGCTGTTCAATAAATAACATGTATACAATTCCAGCGGTACAGAGGAGAAAATGGTGAATGGAAATATTTTTCAATAGAAGTTACTGATGTTCTGTTATGGAAGAAATAAAATTAGATGGAGGGTGATCCTTCAGACATTTCATGCTAATGACAGCAAGTGATTCTAATCATGTCTGTGTGTGTGTGTGAGAGAGAGAGAGGGGGGGGTTGTCTCTGCTTTTGTACTGTGATTCTTCGAATTTGTACCATTCATGTTTTTATTCAAGACATCTGCTTCAGCAAAGTCACTTATATATTCTAAAGAATGTAAATAACATTAACTTAATTTAGTTACCTAACTCTATAGTACAGCAGAATGTACAATAATAAATAATGAAATATAATCATGTTAAATGCAAGCGCAATTTTATTTACATGAATACTGTTTGCCAGAAATAAACTGATAGCAACACAATTTACAAATAAAATATGCCAGTAAGAAAACAACAACAAACGTTGCACAACATGCTATAATTTAGAAACATTAACAGATAAAAAAGGCCTGTTTCATCTTTCATTCATAATTTGCATATTTTGGGGAAAATCAGTTAATTGGCTTTAATATCCCTTACAAATAACACAGATTGTTTCGGTTTAACAGTTTTGGCAGACTGACAAGTCATAGAGGTGTCACAGAGGTTTTGTTGTACAAATGTGATTGTTGTACAGTAACCAATTAAATTATAATGTGATAATTTTATCCAGTTGTGCATATAACTGGACTTTCAAGAAGTGAGAGACATTCTTGTTATCAGTAATAAAACATCAGTGAAGTGAAACACCTCTTTTGTGAAAAGAGCCTTTTGTTGAACCCAGACAATGTATGAGTTTTCAGGTTTTCACAGCAGTGACTCCTCAGATCATTGACTTCCAGGATGTTACAGTATGTATTCATGTAGGCAGACACTAACATTTCAGATTAACATGCTGCCTCCATCTTCAGGGTTGAAGTGAATAGGGAGAGGATGTGTTTAACTTGTAAAGCAGATTTCAAGGAAAGGGGTCACTCAGATACATGAGAAGGGGCTAGAGCCCAGTCCAGCCCAACAAGAATGTTGAATGGTTAATGTGAGATAAAAATTGCTCTTCTTGGGATGCAGGTATTGTTATCACAAAAGGGACACGAAATGTGAGAAAAATATTATCCTTTTTAGGGACCACAATATTTGTCACATGAAGGACATAGATTTGCAAGAAAAGATAGAGCTCTATTAAGTGCTACTGATGATGGGAAATGGGATACAATTTCCTTTAATAGGCCAAGTAGAGAGGTGTCATCTCAGGAGGAAGTGACTCTCTTGTCTTTGATGAAAAGTTTTATAATTATGGAGAGACAGGAGCGAAAGTGGAGAGGAATGATGAAAAGAGGAGCTATCAAAATGGTCAGGACAGCAATAAGGGAGAAAGGAAGGATGGCGGTAATAATTTAAAGGAAGTAAGGGAAGAAATAAAACAATTTCCTGCCATTCTTTATGGGTCTTGCACTAATAGTAATGTAATAAGAAAATTTTAGGTGCCATGGCGACCCAGCACCCAGAATTTGTGTAGGGGTGACTCCACTATTTTCTTTCTCATGTGAATGAGGTCCTCCTTGAATAATCTCTGTACACTGGCCATTGTTTGTTTGTTGTTTGTTTCGGTGTCGTGTCTGTGATTTGGTTTGATGTGTTACTTGTTTGTGTTCTACAACTGTTAATGTACTACAATTATATGTGGCCCTTTTAAATGTCTTGGATATTTAATTTTTAACAATTTATCATTTTAAATGTACTTTTTATTGACATGTTCTATATCTCAAGGCAGCACTGCCAATTGTAGATCTCTGGAACGAAATAAATATGTATGTATGTATTTCATGGGAGAAGCAAAATGCAACCATTGTGATGGTTGATGGTTGATACAAGCAATAATATTGTGTGAGATTTTAGGTTTTTATGGCGGTGAATGTCATGATTGTCATGGTCTGGAATGTGATGTGTAGTCTGGTAAATTACACTCATTTATCCAAAAAACCGTCTGCCTCTACCTTCGAAGCAAAAGTGGAAGGGGGTGGGAGAGTGAAGATGAAGGTGGCAGGTTTGTTCAAAAACTTAGTACCTAAATAATTTCACTGTGTTGCATTCCAGATGACCATTTTCTTCATACCACTGTAAGAGCTTCAAATCTCATGAGATATTCAGTTTAGAAGAGATTGAGTGGAGATGGAGACTGCAGGTTTCTCCACAATGTCGGTAAATGTCTGCCAAACTATAATCTTAGTGCTTACATGAAGACCTCAGATTTCACACAATAATCAGGGTGGAACAAGTGAGAGAGAGAAATTGGAAGCTATAGTTTCCTCTGAAAAGTTGGCAAGATTGCATCACATCCCAGAAGATCATAACCTTATTAGAGTGTAATAATTTTTATACTGCAGCACAGATTATGGACATCTGGAAGATAAGTGTAAGCATTTGACACAAGTCATACGATCATTAGACGAGTCAGAACAAAATTACTAATTTTTTATATGTTTGTTGCACTAAATTCCTGAGTATAATATTATGTGTATTGTAGTCCTAATAATTGTTTTAACTGAACTGAAAAGGGACTCCTTTATCAGTAAAAGTCTCAGTAGAAAATATACATAATCAATTTTGTTATTTATAATTCCATCTTCTTCTGCACTTTCTTTAACACATAGTGGCTGTGTAAGGCCGCGCCACAGCTCAAGCGGTTAGTCGTTGGCTTCCCACCGTGGTGGCCCGGGTTCGATCCGGGGTCTGGTCAAATGGCATTTGTGGTCGACAAAGTGGAGCTGGGGCAGGTTTTCTCCAAGTACTTCGGTTTCCCCTGCCAATCTTCATTCTACCAATTGCTCCACAATCACCATCACCTATCATCTGGGGCTGGTACAATAGGCCAGAAGTGGCCGCAGTACAAGGGACTTAGTCCCACTCCACTAGTAATAAAAAAAATAGTGGCTGTGTGATTGTTATTCATTGTCATGTTGCATTAACTTGTTTGTTCATAACGTATTTCGGCCACACACGGTTATATTCATATATAGGACATAAGAAATTGTTCTTACAGCTCTCTCATATCAGACCAGGTTTCAACATGAGAACTGTTTTCACTTTCAGCATCTATGGAAAGTAGCTATAGATTGCTGTATGACAGACCTCATTTCAATAGAGACATACAGTACTACCTAATAAGCAAAATATTTTGTGTGGGTTAAGAATATTCTGAAAATTTAGGGATGAGTTAATGTTATCATTTCTGGAAGAACATGAAAGATATTATCACAGAATGTATATTTTTTCTACTTTCTGCTTAAGGAAACCAAACTTTTAATTAAATACCATTGTACTTTTCCTGTTCTTTTACACTTGTTTGTGAAAATTGGACTTCTACTCTAAGGAGAAAAAAAAGGTGAAAAATATTTCAATTTTGGGGAGATTTATGTCTGACAAACTGTTAATCTGTCTGAATATCTAGTTTTTTTAATGTCTTACCAGATTTTGATGAAATTTGGTGTCATGTGGGTTTTGAAACAGATTACAGTATGAAAATATGTGAAGAAAAGATGGCATAACAAATTGCAATTTATGCAGTGTTACATGTGATAGAACAGTTCTAATTTTTTTTGTATTGAGTTGTTTATTACATCATGAATATTCAAGAGGAAAAAATGAAGTGTGTTTTTAGATGTGCAATTGAACTGATTTTTTGCACTCATTGTTACAACACAAGGGTTTCCTGGAACAAGATCGAGCTGCTTTACCACACAAATATCATGTAAAAGTATAAAATATTACAGAATTGTCATAATAATACATATGTAATAAAGAATATGTGAGTCTGCTTCAAAACCTCAAAATGGGAAATATTACCAATGACATACATAGGGCTAACAAAATTTATCATCTCCCTACTTTCACTTCAGTGTTTTCCTTTCAAAATACTGCTTTGAGGTAACAGGTGAAACCTGAGACATGATGACATGCATAATTCCTCTTCAAGCCTTCACACCATCTGAACCAATCATTGCATACATTCATGCAATCCTGTTAGAAATCCAAACAACAGAGTGTTTAAAGTATGTTTTGTTGAGGACAAAATATTTGTATTAACAGAACAACATATTTGACATGTCTGATATAAAGGAAATATGGTTCAGACTTTCAGTTTCTGTTATAGAACAGCATCTTCATTTCTGTGACACTCTATAATATAACTTTCAACTGAAATATTATTACAGCAGAAGCTACTGTCAGCATTGAATTTCTTATTACAATTAGGTGTTGATGGTGCAGGTGATTCTTTTTCTTCCCATACTGCTACATCAGTTGACTGAGGTTCCTGACATGGCTGTTGTCCTTCAGATGGTGCTGGTCCACCATCAAACACTACTTCCCAAAGATATGGGTCTTTCTTCAAGGTTATGCACAAGAACACACTGGCCATGATACCAGCCAGCATGAAGAGAACCAAGATACCAAATCCAATCAGGAAAGTGATAGTGTTGTCCTGATCAGTACTTGGATCCAGTGGGCTGTGTGTTGATGCACTCAGGTTGATGAAGGGACGTGTTCCATTAGCTTCAGATTCAAGTCGCTTGATCAGCTGAGATTGTGGCATAATGGTATAAGTCACTTCAACAGGCTTCCTAATGGCAAAAGGAAACATGTTACCTTTGTGCTTCAAGTGTCATATACAGTGTAACACCTGTTAATGTTATATTACAGACTGTTTTCCATCATTTAATGTTCAATTGCAATGATCCCAATAAACAATCTCAGTGTTAAATAACCTCTATTTAAGATTTTCTTCAGTTTAGTGTTCAAATCTACTGGACCCAAGAGAAGCATCAATATGTCAGAAACTGTGTTTGAAGCACCACAAGACAATATTCTCAACATAAAACGTTAAAATTTCAATTTCAATTTCAAACAGTACCAAAGGTGAGTTTTAACAAGAAAAACACAGCTTTCTTTATAACAGGAAGTTGTATCTGCCTGCCAGAAACATGTTTATAAACAGAAATAAAGCATACGAATAGATATTACAGTGATGACGTTAACTGCGTTATCAGAGTGCAGGGGAAACTAAGGAATTAATTACCCACTTGATAATGGATAACATTAGAACCAATATATACTTTGTGGCAGAAATAAATTGAGTACAATTATCTTTCTGGACCCCTCTCTTGCATACAAAATTTTACATCTGTCCTAACATAGCCTCATGCTGGACTAGCCTGTGGTTCCAACTCTGGAGACTTTTAGAAAGAGGCAGTTGAATGACGACCATATGATGGACAATTGTTGACAACTGACAGGAAGTGTGATCAATTCGGAGCCAATTGGGACCATAAGTCATCTGAGTTTAAGGATCTGTATCATTGCTTTTTTCAAATTTTGTGGAAATGTAAGGTTGGTGACTGTGCATTCTTGATTTGTAGAACAAATTTAAGGTTTAAATTTGTGAAGGGTTTTATGTAATGAGATTCTGTGGATACATCAAATCTAGGTTTAGGTAGTTGAGGCACTATGCTATAAGCTGGAGAAGTTGCGGGTTTTGATTCCCAATGAGATAATTGTATTTTCCAATTGACATAATCCTTTCAGTCAAGTGAAGTATGGCCCTGGTTTCGACTCAGCCCCAAACAGAAATGAGTACCAGGAGACTTCCTGGAGGTAAAGGGCAGTTGTTGCGTATGGCTGACAACCTTACTGCCATCTCTGAGCCTATTGTCTAGAAAATGTGGGAACCTTGACATCTCACATCATTATGGACCTCTACAGCCTGTTACAAGGATATTTTCATTTTTATTTGCTTATTATGTTTTAAAATTTTTGTATTTGGATAAAACTGTCAAATGAATCCATAAGGAACTTCATTTTCACCAGTGATAGACTTCTTGATGTACAAAGCACTGAAAAATTAAGCTGACACCTTTTCTTCAGCATGTTCTTAATATTTTCTCACTAACAACCTGAATATCTTAGCCAACCACTCAACCACATTAACCCCACCTCTACCCCAGGATATAGTCCAGTGCTGAGACCAGAACAAAATTGGTTTTAATACGAGTTTCATGAGTGTTCTGAAGCTGGAAGAAGGGGAAAGTATATAAATACTGGAGTCTCCTTATGAATTTTAAAGTCATTGAAATCTCTCATGAAAACGCAAACATGTTTTAAACAAACCTTCATCATTTTAACTATTTCTGAATTTCCAGAATATAACTCTGGTTATTGGCTATCAAAATATGGAATTACCAGAATGAGTAATGGAAGAACGTTGAGGTAAGGCAATCTTGTCCCCGTGCTTAACTAATTAAGGACTATGCCATGAAGACTTATGTGGGAAAAGATGTATACACATAGATCCACATATTCTTGAACTCATCACAAATTGTAGGTGAGTGAAAAGAGCCCCTGGTACCTATTGGATTGGAGGCTGGGTGGGCCCCAAAAGCGGTCTGGAGGAAGGGGAGAAAAGAAAAATCTTGCTCCTGGTGGGACTCAAACTCTGACCCCTCAGCCATCCAGCCCATAGTCAGTCGCTATACTGACTGTGTTATCCCAGCTTTCATAATGGAAAAATGATAAAAAAATTTCAGGTCTACTATTTATCTCAAACTCTGAGGAGACTCAGGTTAACTATGAAACTCTTTCTTTCTGTCTAATTGTGGGTACTGCTGTTTCCACATTAAGTACAATTTCCTGTGAGAGGGAGTGAATGTAGGACAGCCATAGAAGGAAGTAGAATGAGAGATGCAGGATGGACTGTGGAAATTTGATTAGAGAATTTGATTTCTTCATTCCACAGAGTCCAGTGAGGTTCTGGGACCCACCCAGTCTCCTATATAATGGCTACCGGGGGCTCTTCCTATGGGAGTAAAGCAGCTGGAGCATCTACTACCAAAGGCAAGAATGGTGAAGCTATATTTCCACGTGCATGCGAAGAATTAAAGAAAAGCAGTCAAAGTAAGTGTTCTGCATTGTATAGGGAATGATTTTGCTGCATGCGGAACGCGCGGAAATCTGAACTACAGATTTTCTGAACTTCCATGTTATAGTTCGCTTTGTTTAATTGCCCCTTCATACAGTACTATGATTGATAGTGATCAGTAGATACGGATAATAAAGTAGGCTTGAGGAGAAACAGCATTAGGTAACTTGATTTGAAATTCTGTACGCTACTTCACTTCGGGTGAAGTGCATTTCCCCGAATTTTATTAAGTCTCAGTTCGGAAGTGTAATAACGTTCTTATACGTTGTATTGAAGATTAATTTGAAGATAAAAAATCTTAGGGAACATTTTAAGGAAAATATATTTTTGGGGGTTCTCACATTGGTGTTTATGAAGGGTTCCATCTTCTGTCAAAACTTCGGGATTGAAGAATAAGCCAATCAAGAAACCAATGTGAAGAATATGTAAGATTTGAGGCTTTCACGGCGGTGACTATGAAGAAAGCAGTCTTCTGGGATTTGGCACCGTGTATATGTGGTGTTAACCGACGTTTCGGAGGAACGTATCGCCTCCATCTTCAGGGTAGAAGAAAAAGTA